TCAGGACTCAGGACGGTGCTCTTGCTCGCCGCCGAAAGCTGCCGTCCCAACAAAACCAGCACTACCGCTCGAGACTTCCTCCCTCTCTTTCTCTCATCGGCGCCGCCCCCAGCAACAATAACGCTCCTGCTCGAGACTTCCTCCCTGTTTTACTCAAGGCATTGCTCCTCCTCGCCGCCGAAAACCGCCGTCCCGACAAAACCAGCGCTCCCGCCCGAGACTTCCTCCCGTTTTACGCTGGACTGGCGCCCTACTCTCTTTTGAATTGGCGCAACAACGCTCCCGCTCGAGGCTTCCTCGCTGTTTCCTCCGGACGGTGCTCTTCTTCGCCGCCGTCCCGACAAAACCACAGCTCCCGCTGGAAATTTCCTCCGTTCTTACTCAAGGGGGTGTGGTGTTCCTCCTCGCCTCCGACAACCGCCGTCCCAACAAAACCAGCGCTCCCGCTCGAGACTTCGTTTTGTTATACGCTGGACTACCGCCCTACTCTCTTCAGCATTTGCGCCGCTCCCAGCAACAGCAGCGGCCCTGCTCGAGAGTTCTTCCCTTTCTATTCAGGGCCAGGTCCTTGCCTCGCCGCCGACAGCCCTCATCTCCAACAGGGCAATCCTGTCGCTCGATACTTCATTGTGCTCTACCCTTGGCTGGGGCTCCACTGGCGGTCTCGCATCGGCGCAGCAAGGCGCGGGCATGCAAATTCTTCGGAGGAGGTGTTTGCAAGACCTCATTGGGCGGGACATCTGGGAATGGGAATAACGGACCCCGCTATAAAACAATAATCCCCCATGATGGGGATGGTTATCGTGATGGTCGCATGCTTCGTGTGGAAACATCGCGCATGAGGGCAAAATGATTGCTACTGTTGTTGGTGTTGGTGTTGTTGTTGTTGTTGTTGTTGTTGTTGTTGTTGTTGTTGATGGTGTTATTGTTGTTGTTGGTGTTGTTGTTGTCGTCCCCCCTGCGACCCACCCCGCGACCCACCCGCGACCCGCCCCGCGACCCATGAAAATGCGAACTGAGCTGAACCGCCGCTGAAAGCATGCAAGTGCAGCAACTGCACGCCGCTGAACCGAACTCTTCTTGAGCTTGGGAAGCCACGTGTACGTCGGATGATATCTGTACCTGTTTTTCCGATTCCGAAGGGGCCGACGCGCGCGCAGCGGGCTCGCGCCCTCTGCCTGATAGATATCGGGGCCAGTCGGCAGCAGCCACTGCCAATGTCGGATATCCCCAGGCCCGGGGCTGCACCCTCTCCTCCCACTCCAGATCAGCCAGCTGATCCAAGTCAACACATGCATGGCCGATCATAGCATTGTCTTCCATTGAGCTGATCGTGCAGTGCCGATCACCTGCTTTGAACTGGTTGTTGAATCCGCCACCTCGCTTGCAGCGGCAGGTGTGTGCGTCAGGCCCTTTCGCTCCCTGCGGGGCAATAAGTGGGACCCCCCATCGCATCTAGCCCAAGATGCCTTCATTTGTATGACCAAGTCCCTGCGTTTTTGCCCTTCCAGGCAGAACATGTGCCCAAATACGAGGTTGGGGAAGGGACCTTCACTGGACTCCCCCCCCTCCTGGCGGCCTCCCCCTCCTGGACGCCCGCCCGAGAGCGATAGCGGGGTCGCGTGGCAGCGCCACCAATCAATTGTATGGAATTGATTGAACCACTTGAACTGATTTCGTTTATCTAAATCGACAGTTGCTGACAAAAGCGCTCTGTAATCGAGTTGCTCGATACATCATGCAAAGAACACGACTATCCCAAAGTGAATGGGGGCGAAGTTGCTGGAACAAGAAATGAAACGAGTTCAAAGCAGCGAATGCAGCTAATTCAACGAACTCAAAAAACAGCTCAAGTACAAAAACCAATTCAACAATGGCCCATGACGTGTACCTCAAGCTGCTAGTGTTAATTGTTGAGCCGAAGAGGTCGTCTCGCGTGTGACGGATTTCGCGCCTCCCTCTCGTTGCGCATCACACTTGAGACGGCCCCTCCGTCGCCGCCGCCCCGCCGCCGCCCCGCCGTCGCTGCTGCCGTCGTCCATGACGGCCCTCCCTCCACCACCCAACCCTCCGAATTCAAAACGTCGACGCCGCCGCCACCAGCGTCGCCGCCGTCATCACGACGACGGCAGCGACGGCGACCAGCGAGCGGACGTAGCCGCCGCCATCGCCCGCGACGTCGTCACCGCCGCCGCCGTAATCCGCGACGACGGCAGCGATGGCGACCGGCAGAGCGGCGGCGGCGGCGGCCGCCGCGACGGGACAACGACGACGGACGACGACTTACGACGGACGACGGACGACGACGACGACAGACGACAGACGACCATGACGACGACGACGTCAACGACGGCGACGACGACGACGACGACAACGGACAACGACGGACGACGATGAAGGACGACGGACGACGGACGACGGACGACCACGACTGACGACGGACGACGGACGACAGACGGCGACGACGATGACGACGACGGACGGCAGCCTCCTGTAAACCATGCGTTGCGGGTGACTGTGCATTTGAGTTTTTGGTCACGCAGCCGTTTCGCTTCGTGCGTTTTTCAATTATTGGTGGGGGAGTCCCCCGTAATTCTGGCACACTTTGCCGGGCCTCGGGGCGCCTCAGCAGATGGGAATCAGTTGAGTCAAGTGGGTGCGACTCAGAGACTTACTTCTTGAATTAGTTGAACCAGTTGGACGCGAAGAGAGGGGCACGAACCAGTGGGTGCGACTCAAGACTTACTTCTTGAATTAGTTGAACCAGTTGAATTAGTTGAACCAGTTGGACGCGAAGTTGAACCAGTTGGAACGAATGCAATGCATCGAACTAGTTGGGCGCGAAGAGAGGGGCAGCTCTCCCGCCCCCGGCCGCGGCAGGCAACAAACCGCGACGACCTCCGAGGCCGACTGCTGGCCCGCCGTGCGCCGAGCCCTAAGCCGGGCACGTCCCTCTACGGGAGAGCTGCTCGAGAATAGCCCAAAAGACAGAATCTGGGGGGGCCGGGCTGGCTGTGCCGGGGAACGGGGGAAGGGGGGGGGCGGCTGTATCCTTTCCGGGGGGAGGGGGGCTCTTTCGGGCCCAGGGGAGCCCCAACACGGGCCAAGAGGACCCCAACAGGCTCCCAAGACGGCCTCAAAAGGCCCCGAGCCGTCAAACGATCGGTCCAAGACGCCAAAGCTGGCCTCCCTACCGCCCAAGGGGCTTCCAAGACGCCCGAAGAAGCTTACAAGAGGGCTCCCCAAGAGGGTCCCAAGACGCACAAATTGCCACATTACCGTCGGAGGCCCCAAAGAGAGCTCCAACACTGCCCAAGAAGGCCCCAAAACGGCCCAAGCAGCCCCTAAGGCGGCCTAAGAGGGCCCCAGGACGGGCCCAAGAGGGGGCCCAGAGGGGGAAACAAATGTAATTTCGAGCCTTCGACGCCAAGACGCCCCCAGGAGGCTTCAAGAAGCCTCCAAGAAGTACCCAAGAGGCCCCCAAGAAGGGCTCAAGAGGCCCCAGTAGGCCCTGGTCCTCCTTGACCTCGTCCTCCTTCTTCATCAAGCCCTGCTTGCACACCATATGAAGCTCATCGTCATAAGGACGATATTCACCCCCGTGGGCATGATGATCCTCCTCTTTTGTTCCTCCTCCTCCTCCTCCTCCTCCTCCTCCTCCTCCTCCTCAGGCTCTCGCTCCTCCTGCTCCTCCTTCTGCCCAAACTCCTACTCACCCTCGTCCACCTCCTGCTACTCCATACCCCCGTCTCCATCCTTATAATAGTATGTTACATCCGCCTCATTCTCTACTACTTCTCTTTTCCACCTCGTCCTGATCCTCCTCGTGTTCCTCTTCCTATCCTCCTCCTCCTCCTCCTCCTCCTCCTCTCCTCCTCCTCCTCCTCCTCCTCCTCCTCCTCCTCCTCCTCCTCCTCCTCCTCCCTCCTCCTCCTCCTCCTCCTCCTCCTCCTCCTCTGTCACGTACTCCTCCTCCCCCGCCTCATCCTGTTCCTCCTCGTCCCTCTCTTCCTCTCCTTCTCCTCCTCCTCCTCCTCATTCTCCTCCTCATCATCATCAGCATCATCAGCAGCGTCATCATCATGACCATCATCATCACCACCACCACAAGCTTCATCATCAGCAGCAGCATAATAATCAGCATATTCTTCATCATCATCATCATCATCATCATCATCATCATCATCATCACCATCATCATCATCATCATCATCATCATCAACATCATCCTCATCCTCATCCTCATCCTCCTCCTCCTCATCATCATCATCATCATAATCAGCATCATCATCATCATCATCAGCATCATCATCATCCTCATCATCATCATCATCATCATCATCATCATCATCAGCATCATCATCATCATCATCGTCGGCATCCTCGAAGGCATCATCATGATCAGCATCAGCATCAGCATCATCACCAGTATATTATCATCCTTTCCTCGTCCTCCTCCTCCTCCTACTACTACTCCTCTTCCTCCTCCTCCTCCTCCTCCTCCTTCTCCTCCCCCCTCCTTCCCGTCCTCCTTCTTTGTTCTCTTCCTCCTCCTCCTCCTCCTCCTCCTCCTCCTCCTCCTCCTCCTCCTCCTCCTCCTCCTCCTTCTCCTCCGCATCCACTCAAAATTGGTCCGCGGACCCCTCATGGGTCCATCTGGCGCAGGTTTTCATATCCAGATCGATGTTTCACGGTCCCCATGAGCCAATGAGGCCCCAAAGAAGCATCCAGAAGCATCCAGTATGCCTCCAAGGAGGGAGGAAGGAGAAGAAGAGAAAGGAGGAGGAACATGAGGAGCGTCGTCTTCGTCGTCGTCAATGTTGGTACGAATCCGGAGCGCCCCGGATTGGCAGCACTGGCCAGAGGCCACTACCATAGTCTGGGGACGATGTTTCGACTATGTTTGACTATGCTTGAATATGTTTGGACGCTGTTTCATTTTTCGTCCAAAATCCGCCTGTAGGAGGAGGACATGCCCGACCCAAGCAGAGTGCCCGCTCCTACTCGAGACGTCAAGATACTCCCGGCCGCCGTACAGCCAGCAGCCGATAAGCGTGGCCGCGAAGAGGGCGGCCTGTACGCTCACCCGGGGGGCAGGAGCGGAGGAAGGGCAGCCAGCGCAGACGTGCACACGTGGAGCTCCGCGCGGAAGGCTTGGATCTGCGCCCGGGACCCTCCGCGCGCCAGGGAGGGGGGCCCCGCGAGGATGCCAGAAATCCGCGCGGGGCTCCACAATTTCAGGTGTACGCCCTTTCTTCTCGTCGATGGAAGGAGGTGGGGGCGAAGGCCCCTTAGAAGCCCTCCTGGCCTTCAGGGAGCCACCTGGAAGAGGAGGAGGAGGAGGACGAGGAGGAGGAGGAGGAGGAGGAGGAGGAAGGAGGAGGAGGAGGAGGAGGGAGGAGGAGGAGGAGAGAGGAGGAGGAGGAGGAGGAGGAGGAGGAGGAGGAGGACGACGAGGACGAGGACGAGGAGAGGAGGAGAGGAGGAGGAGGGGGAGGAGGAGGAGGAGGAGGAGGGGAGGAGGAGGAGGAAGAGCAATGGTTTGATCTCCGGCCGCATGTCGCCTGCCTCCGTCGTCCGCCGCTGCGTCGCTCCTGCCCCCGCCCAGGTACGCCGCTGATCTCATCTCCTAAGTACATATTCCTCCGCCCCACCCCAGCGGCGACTGACGCTGGGGGGGGGGTATACGGCTGCGCCTGGATCAGCCCCCTTCCCTGGGGGAACCCAAGATGTACTGATGCCGCTACTCCCCAGACTTCTCCCGGGGTGCGTTCTGACTAGGATTTCGAGGCGAATCCAGCGGTGGCGACGAGGGCCTCCCAGGAAAGGGGAAAACGAGGGAAGGGTAGAGGTATGGGTACCCTTTTCCTCCTTCGACTCCGAGGAGGCGGTGACCCAAGCGTGCGGGCGAGCGACGAGCATTGCAGCATCACCGTGTCGGGCGAAAGGAAGGGGTCCGTCCCGAGGGCAAGAGGCCCCGAAAACCCCCAGGGCCTCCTCCGGAGCCAGCGCTTCGTAACGCGAGCCGTTGCTCGACGGCCCCGCTGCACAAGAAGGGCCCCAGGAGGCCAACCCTCGCCCTCAGGGCCCCTGTCCTGCACAGCGGTGAGCGGAGAGCAGCCTCGCTGCGAGGCCGAGTGCCCGGGCCGGAGCGGCGCCGGAAGAGATCGGAGGCGATGCAAGGGAAGGGAACGCGCCACTGCGAGACTGGGCCAGGCCACGTCGGGAAAGAGAGGCTCCTCATATCCCTCATCCCCATCCTCAGAATTCGAATCCGAAAAAGCACCGGGTCCGCTCTCCCAGCTGCATGCCGGAAAAATAAGACACCTCAACTCCCACCACCACCTCCTCCTCCTCCTCCTCCTCTTCCTCCTCCTCCTCCTCCTTTTCCTCCTCCTCCTCCTCCTCCTCTTCCTCCTCCTCCTCCTCTTCCTCCTCCACCCCGCCCCCGCCTCCCCCGTAGCCAATATGGCTCCATCGGTCGGACGGCGCCGTCGTCACGCCGCCCCGTCGCTTCGCGTCGGCGTTGGTGCCGTCGCAGGATGGCTGCGCCTAGAGGAGCCTGCCGACGCCGCCACCCTCGTCGAGGCGGCGGTGCGGACAGCCGTGCTGGGTCACGCGCCGCGCCGCACGGTGGCTGCTGTGGCGTGGCCGGCACTCTCGGCGGCGCCCTCCGCGCTCCCTGAACCGCCGTCCGCCGCCGACGTGACCCCCGCGCGGCCGCTATACGGGGGCCCCTGCAACGAGTGGACACGCCGCTGCTCCCAGAGACCCCTCGGTGCTCAAAGTGGAGCGGCGACGCCGACGCCACCAGCGCCATGTCGGGCATGTCCTCCTACAGGCGGATTTTGGACGAAGAAAAACAAAAAAAACCAAAACATGTTCAACCAGAGTCAAGAATATGTTGTATATATATATATATATATTGTATACACAGAGATAAGAAGAAAGGACCCCCCACAAAAACAAAAAAACGCCCCCTGACTACTTGTGACTATTCGGTATCATGAGAATATAATCCTGTAGTGGGACAGACCCGACTTCACGCCAAGGCCGGCAAGGGCAGGGCCCGTGTCCCTCAGGGCCCGCTTGCTTCCCGGCTGCCCCCTCCATCGAGGAGGAGGAGGCGGATGGGGAGGATGGATGGATAGATGGATGGATGGATGGATGGATGGATGGATGAATGGATGGATGGATGGATGGATAGGACAACATCAATGAGACCCGGGCGGCCGTCAGCAAGCCGACGACCGCCAGGGCCCCAGACGTCGAATGGCCCGCTGCCCGCGGACGCCCGCGGCCGCGCACCCCGCGCGCGGCCATCGCGCCGCCGTCGGCGACGCCAGAGGCGCGTCCGCCCGCACCTCGCCACCGCGCGCAGCCTGGGGAGGGCTGCAGAGTCCCCAAAGAGCGGCGGCGGCCCCGCGGGGCGCCGCACTGGCGGCTTCTCCCCGCCCTCTGCCCGCCGCAGCCGCGGCCGGGCACTCCTCGCCCCTGCACGCGGCCTGGGGGCGGGGTCCCCCAGGAACGGCAGGGGCCCCGAGGGGCGCCGCGCTGGCGGCACTTCCCCGCCCCCTGGGTGGGCCGCACCCCACCTGCTGCGCGCCGCTCCTCCGCGCGGGGCGGTCGCGAGGCTGCCCCTGGCTTGGGGGGAGGGCCTCGGGGCGCTCAGCGAGCTGCCCCCCGCCCCGCCCTGACCGTCGCGCCGCCCCTCCCTCCTGGCTGCCAGGGCCCCGCCCACGCCGCCCCTCCAGCGGCAGCACGCTCTCCCTGCCGCATGCACTGGGCACGCGGAGGGCCCACGGGCACCCCAGCAGCCTGATCCTCAAGCAGCAGGTGGGGAGGCCCCCCGCTGGATGCTGAGCCCGCCGCCGCCGAGGTCTTGCCGCGGAGCCGCCGTCGAGTGCCCGTCTCCGTGAGCAGCGCGATCCTCACCTGCCGCCGGCTCGATGGGGAGGGGGAGCCTCTGGAGGGTGAGCGGCTCCTCGACCTCGTGCGGATGGCTGGCGCAAACTACGGTGGCTGCGATGCGGCGGCGAACTGTGCAGGGCGACCACGCCTCCAAGCTTCCTCGCACAGCTCGCTCGCCGTCCTCTGCCTCATGCGCATGGCCCCCTCTGGCGACATGTCCTCGAAGAGGGCACGGATCGGCTACGTCGCGAGGAACTCGGACATCTCCTCGATGCAGTGGGCCATCCAAGCGTCGTAGCCCTCGTCACGCATGGCCACGTTGGGGATCCACTGCCCCGCGAGGTCAGCCAGCCCGTTGAGGAAGCGCCCAAGCCGCTGCTCTGCTTGGTGTGCGTGGAAGTCCGTGGCAGCGGCTGGCGGGCTACCTCGCAGGGTCCGCAGCCATGGGCGGCAATCGCCCCTCGAGGCTCCAGTTCGACGTGGCGACTTCGAGAAAGAGGTGTTCCCTCTCGCGGGGGCTTCCTCAGGACTTGGCTATCTAACACCTCCAGCACGGCGTGGCGACATTGAGCATGAGGTGTTCCCTCTCGTAGGGGCTTCTTCAGGACTTTGGGCCACACTGCCGTCGATGCCGACCTCGAACGTCGTGTCGTACTGGTCCTGTCGCAGCTCGAGAACATGTGCACTGTGATGGTAGTCCCTTCGACTGTCCACTACGCCATGTTCGAAACTGTGGAAGCCAACCCGATCCAGCATCCGCTCCAGTCCACGTGCACTGTGATGGTAATCCCCGCGATTCCCCACTACGCCGTGAACCTCGCCTCCACTGGTCAAGCCACCCCGAAGCTTACCAGGATCCAGTTGCCCATCACCTCGTGGTCGACGCTGAGGAAGCGGCTGCCCCGCACCACCTGACCGCACAGCGGTCGTCGCAACCGTAGCACCCCGAGGCGCGGCTCCCGCCAGGGACCCGTCCTTCGGACAACCACCCGCTTGCGCAGAGGGACCGCCACCAAGAGGCTCCGATGCGACGATGTGTGGGCCACTGGGGATCGGCCGCCAAGACGAGCGCCGTCTCGCAGTAGGCGCCGTGGAGCGGCGACGCCGACGCCGCGCCAGCGCCTCGCGGCGCGGCGGCGCGAGGGTGCTGTCGCCGATGCTGCTCCTGCCAGCGATCTTGCGGCCCTGGCCGCACGCCCGCCGCAGGTCGAGTAACTACCAGACCACCCCAACCCAACCCGAAGACCCAAATTTCGGGTTGAGGGGGGCACGCATTCCACACGTGCTTTTTTCAGTGTTTCCCGACGCCCCCCTCACTGGGAAGGGAGGGCAAACTGGGGCCTTCGGGTTGGGTTGGGGTGGTTTGGTGAGCGATGACAGGTGGCGGCCGATGCGGCTGGCCACGAGGCCGATGCCGACACGGAGTCCCTGGGCGACGAGTGGGCGGACTCGCCCGCCGCGGCGGCGCCTCTGGCGCGGCCTGCGGCCGCCGAGGCGGGGCGGCCCACCTCCTGCGGAGGCCGCGGCGGCTCTTGCTGGTACGGCGGCTGCGGCGGGCCGTGCGGAGGCAGGGGTGCGCGCGGAGCTGCTCGCGCAGACCCTCCAGCAGCCTCGCGCCCTCGCGCACCACTCCTGCCCCTTCGACGTCCTGCCGCGCGACCGGGTCCGCGAGCTGCTGCGGCCCAGGGCGAAGAGCGGCCCCAGCGCAGGGAGGGGAAACAGCGGAAAGGCCAGCGAGAATGCCGCGCCCCCCTGCGCAGGAGGGGGACCGCTTGTTCCTCCCCCCTTCCCTGCCATGGAGCTCGCCTTCGCCGCGCTCCTCTTCACGTCCCTCTGAAGTGTAGTGTGGGTTCGGGCAGCGTGGACTCATCTTCTACTGACGTGTCCTCCGCCTTCGCCTCCGCCCCAGCCTCGGCCTCCGCCTCCGCGTCCGCCTCCATTCATTTCCCTCATGAGAAATGCCCTGTCGCACCCCGAGGCTGGTCGAAAGGGCGGGCCAGGCGTTTCGCCTGAGACACCCTCACCACTGATGGTGTGGCCCTTAAGCTGAAAAGTTGCAACAGTTTCACGAATGGAAGACGGGTGGTTTTCAACATGTGACTCTCGCTTAGCCCCGTGCACATTCGTCGTAAAAAAAACTGCAACAGCTTCACGGATGGAGGG